AGTGTTGGATGGAGCTAGAAGCAGAAAGGAATGAAAACAAAGTGAAACACTTAGCTGGGTTTGGTTTGTTGGGTAGATGATAGATGAAGCTCAATTTATAGATCAAGAAAAGCAGATGACAATTGTTGGAGTGGTTGTTTCTGGGAAGATACATATTTGATATCTTACTAGTGTCTTTTACGCGGGTGGCTACAGTGTACACGGTGTAACTATGTGGGGTAGTTCACACCCCAAAAAGAAGAAATAAGAAAGAAAGATTTAAAAAACTATTAAGCAAAAGGCAAATGGGCCCTATTCTGTTCTCATAATTACTTTTGGAGTGGACGACCTACGTAGGAATTATATTATGGAAAATACTTCCCTCCATTCCCCGTAAGTAAAGGAAGAAGTTTTGACATTTACATTAATGGCGTTTAATATGTGTGTAGAAGTTTTTTTTTTTTGTGTTTTCTATGAATTATTTTTGCACATGTGTCTGTTGGCGTGACTTATGGACCATTGACTTTCTTTCCTTACACACCAAGGATTCTCATTATAATTATATGTACAAACTACATAAAACCCCCCAACTGATAGGGTCATTTACAAGTTCATACCCGATTTTGGGATGTTAAATATGCATTTTCAACTGAAATTTACATTCTCCCACTAGAGAGGTAAAATGTCAAAGTGTATTTTATTTTTCTTGGACCGTCGAATTTTTTTTTCCTATTGAATTTAATTAATGTTATTTTTAATTTTAAGTTTTTAACGTCATGAGCCGCACCTTAGTCCCCTTCAACCAACCGCAAGGAAGCTAAGAGGGGGAGGTGACCACTGCCCCTCCTCCCCTTCGCCCATCTTCCCCATCATCTCCTCATCTCCCCTTCTTTTTCTCCCATCTTTTCTCTTCCTCTTATCCCCTTCCCCTCCCCAAATAGTCTAGATCTGTTTGGATCTAGGTCTGTTTGTCTGTTTGTTTTGTTTGGTTGTTTTTGCAGTGTTCTAAGTGACTGGTGTTGTCTTTGTCTCGACGGCGGCCAGCGACAGTAGTGACGCTGGATTGTGTCTCTCATCAGGAGAGTTGCCTAGTGGCTAATATTTTGTCTATGTTTTAACGACGGCAGCAGCAGCGACGCTGGTGGTAGTTGTTGGGATGTGGTGCTCTTCTCTACTCTGTGCCAACTGAAGAACTATGCTTGGTCATAGGAGTTTTTCTTTGTCAGGTTCTGAGTTGAAGTGGAGTGCTTCTCAGGAGTCCTTTTACTGTTATTTCTGTGTTCCTCCTCCGTGTTCTCTCTTGGTTTCTGCTATGGTATGCCTTGCAGTTTGTGTGGGTGTCAAATGACTATTATTTTGCTCATAGAAGGCTTCTTTTGATAGTTGGGATGTTCTGTGGTCCTCTCCTGTCGGTTTACTATTTGGGGTTTCTGCAGTCCTCTCATATGAGTCTACTGTGTTGGTCTCTAGTTGCAGTTCTCATTGGAGCTCTTTGTGTTAGTTTTCATTTTTTATTTGTTATTTTATTGTAATGGTTCAAAGTGACCTGAATTGGACTCTCTTGTTAGTCCATGACATGTGTGGTACTCTTTCCTCCCCTGGGGTTTGTCCCATGAGGTTGTCTTACGAAGGTTTTAACGAGGCCACTATATCATGTCACTTGTACGTCTTTGGTTCTTTGAATGAATTCTCTTTCTCAACAAAAAAAAAAACGTCATAAAGCTTTTCTATTTATTTGTTGCGCATTGGAATTCATATGACATATTAAGGAAATGAAACATCAGTCATTGTCTTTATTTTTTGTATTATAGTAGTTAAGATTGTTGGGTTAAGCGATATGTCCCACATTAGGAATATAAGCCTCTAAAATATCTTTTATACCATGACCAATGCCCCAATTGGTTCTATACATGTGACCCGCTACCACGAAAAAAGAATTGCAATAGCTAAATGATGGTGTGGGTCAGCCATGACCTTCAGTTACGGGATCTAATATATCCTCCATAAAAAGTAAAAAATTCCACATATTTTGACCAATTCAAAGTGAAAAATGGGGTTGGTCGCTCAGTGGAATTGGGATAAAGTTGAGTCAAAAGATCCCGGTTCAAGATAAATATAATTCATGAGGAAGTGGAAGTAAACAATATCTTATAGTCATTGTCAATTGATTTTAGATTAGTTGATTTCCATATATTAGTTGCAAATGAAGAAATTTTATTATAAGAATCATTATACAATAAAAGAATTGGACAATCGGTAGTATCACTAAATGGGAAATCGACACGGCCTCTTCCTCATATAAGTATAACAACGTAAAAACAGAAATAAATGTGTGAAATAGAATTCACAAATGAAAGATATATGTGATTATTGGGCTCTCAATTCAAGAATCTCCTGGATGATGTTCAAAAACAGGCATCCAAAACGCAACAGCAGCACAAGGCAGCACAACATCCCTTCCAGAAGCCATCACCTTTTGACTTTGTTTCTACAGCTCCATGTCCATGGGGATTTGGGGCATCTCTTGTTGGATAACCAGCAGGTGGTGGAGCCTGCACATGATAAGGACCCGGCGCTGTAGAACAAGGCGGGGGAGGGTATGCTGCTCCAGAGTTAGTTGATGAACTCATCTTTGAATAATATTTCTAAGGGCCTTCAAAGTATACTATGGAGCTAGAAGAAGAAAATAATGAAAACAAAGAGAAATGCTAAATTGAGTTTGGTTTATTGCCAAAGTATTGGATGGAGCTAGAAGCAGAAAGGAATGAAAACAAAGTGAAACACTTAGCTGGGTTTGGTTTGTTGGGTAGATGATAGATGAAGCTCAATTTATAGATCAAGAAAAGCAGATGACAATTGTTGGAGTGGTTGTTTCTGGGAAGATACATATTTGATATCTTATTAGTGTCTTTTACGCGGGTGGCTACAGTGTACACGGTGTACCTATGTGGGGCAGTTCATACCCCAAAAAGAAGAAAAAAGAAGGAAAGAAAAAAAAAAGACTACTAAGCAAAAAGCAATGGGCTCTATTCTGTTCTCTTAATTACTTTTGGAGTGGACGACCTACGTAGGAAAGAGCAATTATATTATAGAAAATACTTCCCTCCATTCTCCGTAAGTGAAGGAAGAAGTTTCGACATTTATATTAAATGGCAGTATAAGTTTTTCTTTTTGTGTTTTTTATGAATTATTTTTGCATATGTGTCAAACTATGATTTGCAATAAGAAGGAATATCTTCTCTGGGAAAGTGGCACTTTCTAGAAGTAATTTTTTTAATATAATCCTGGAAGTAATTTTTTTAATATAATCCTGGTTGTAGAAATCAAATGTTGCTCATGAGGTGGGAAGAAAAGCATTCCTCAACAGTGTTAATCACTCACTAATCTCATGATGAAGATTTTGATCAGCAAGAATTTAAAAATACCAAATTCTAGGCTTATGTTCATACGAAAAATTGAAGATGAATGATGCTTCAGATTGAAGCTCTTGATGAGCACTGGGTGCTTTCCGTCTCATCAGACCTCATCTTATGGGCTATTAGTACATCTTACATCAAATAAAGCTCTTGTAGTATTTTCAGTACCTTAACATACCCATTAGATAAACACCTAATTATCATCTACATTACATTATGATAAGATAGGATATGCGCACATAACTTACAATTTATCCTCAAAGTAGTGTTTATCCCAAAATTCCCCTAGCAATAGGCCGAAAGGTTGTATTAGTTGCGAGCGTTCCACTATTAGTACGAAAGAAAGTATAATAGAAAGATAAATAAAAGGAATCAGACCTTATTAGAATCCAACCCGAGATAAGGTAGCAAATTAACTAAAAGAGAATATATGACAAAATAGGCCAAGAAATGGAGATCAAATTAACATCATCAACTGAGGGACTGATATGACCGCAAGGTGAATTAATTCGAAACCATTCATCACGTAAAAAAGAAAAACCAAGTAATAGTAAAATAGAAACTCAAATTACATTTAGATGAAGTTCAAAAGCAAGCATCCAACAGACAGCAGCAACACAAGGCAGCAGCACATCCCTTCCAGAAGCCATCACCCTTGGACTTGGTTTCTACAGGTCCATGAGCAGCAGCAGGAGGATTTTGGTCATCTCTTGTGGGATACCCAGCTGGTGGTGGGGCCTGCACATAATAAGGTGCAGGGTGTGCTACTGTGGTCTGAGTAGTAGCTGAACTCATTATCACTAAAGTAGACGACGGAGAGAAGAAATCAAAGTGATGAAAAGAATGAACAGGTCAATACTAATAAATCAGGTAATGGGTTATTGAGAAGATTGCAGATGATGAATTTATATAGAGAGAGAAATTCATTAAAGCAGCTGAGAATCGGAGTGGATTGCTTCTTAGAACTCAGAAGGCGGCGGTAATATTTTTGGTTGCTTTTACCGGGCGGCAACAACGCGTACGTACACAGGGAACAAAAAATAATAGGACGATTACAACAAGGCAAAGGACTGCCGCTTTGTTCAATGGGCTTCGATGTGTAAGTTGTAACTAGTCAAAGACCACAATCCCCAAATTTCCTTTCGTTTTTGACTCCATCTGAATTATATTTCTAGGTATAAAAAGAGATGGTGATGTATGAGAAATTCCGTGACACCACCCCATACATGTTATAATCAAATTCACCCATGTTATAACGGATTGGCCTCTCAACTCGAATTCTCACGAAAAATACTTTAGCGCGAATATCATATCACCGCGTGATGGTCACTACTAATATATCAAATAAGAGAAGCAAGTCTACCCAGACTTATGTGTTGGTCACTAATTATATAATTTAGGCGATTTTTAGTGACCAAATTTAAAGTAGTCACTAGTTGGTAGCAAATTTAGTCATTAAAAATTAGAAAATAGGAGCCAATAATATTAGTGACTAAATAGTATTATTAGTCATTAAATTTTTATGTATTTGTGACCATTATTCACTTGGTCACAAGGAAATTGGTCACTACCGACATTTTTTCTTGTAGTGTACAATGATAACAATTGAGCATTGCACCAAAGATCCGAAACAGTGGGGGAACTGCCATGACAAACCTCCAATATACTTACTCAAACATTATCATACACTGTACACATCAACATTAATGTTGTTTGAACCAAAAAAAAAACATTCTTTTCTGAGAATTTAACCGTAATTTTCAACGTCTAGTACCTAATTATTATTGAACATCCACTAGAACTTAGAATTCTGAAGATGCACATGATTTTTTTTAAAAAATCAATGGTGAGTCTCATGTTCGTTAATACTGTGTGGATTCCTTCCAATTCCATCATTCTTAAGAGGTTAGTCAAATAAGAAATTTTGCAAATTCTGTAACTCTACATTTTCTTGGTACGTACTTTCAAATTTCTCATCCAAACGCCATATAACCATGAAGTCAAAATTCAAGCACTAGACATATATGCATTACAAGAATCGAGTACTATGAGTGCAAGGTGCTGACAACTAGGTAAAGTACTTCAGTAACTATTTTTTTCGTGAAATAAAGAACAAACAATCACACTAACGACAAAAAATTTGACAAGCAGTAGCGTCTAACGGGCATCATCCCAAACCCTAAAAACCCAAAAACAAAACAGAAAAAACGAAAGAAAGAAAGAAAGACAGATGTATATGACATATTGGAGTGAATGATGGGATTCAAAAACAGCAGCAGCAACAGAAGCCAGCAAACCAACGCTTCCAGAATCCGCCATCCTTCGTCTTGGTGTCGGTAGGTCGATGAGGAGGAGGAGGAGGAGGATTTGAGGCCGCTGTTTTGGGACAACGAGCAGGTTGTTGTTTTGAAGCCCACAAGTAAACAGGCTTTGGTGGTGTAGCCCACTTGTAATAAGAAGGTTCAGGGTATGCTACTGCGGATGCAGTACTTGAACTCATCTTTAAAAACCAGGAAGAGGCTCTTCAAACCCCGATAAGTCTGATCTGATCAAAACAATGGAAAGAATATTGGGAAAATACAAATTAACTTGCTGGGTGATTGGGTAATTGGTGGGATGAATTTATAGACAGAGACGAATTAAAGGAGGTGAGAATTGGTGCCTTTTAACGCGTCTACTTGCTTGGGGGAGAAGTAAGTCGAGATTTCAAGTACCACTAGACAAGGAATTCTACTACTATAACTATTTGTATTCTTTTTTGGTTTTTTTTTTTTTGTTGTGTATGTACTAGAATTACTTTTGTACACATAAAACTAGTAAAAAGGCCACTATCTAGTAATTAATCTTCCTATTTTACTCTATCGTGTGAAAAAACGAGATGGTGTGATTAGTGAAGGGACTACTTCATCTAATTTCAAAATGTTTTTAATTGATTTTTTTAATTATTCATATTAATAATTTTCTGAATTATTTATTAATAAAATTCTTAATTACAATTTTATCCTTGTATAAATTACTTAAAATGTTCGACCAAAAAAAAATTACTTAAAATGACTGAAAAGAAATTGGCAACCCCCAAACTTTGTTCACAGTTAAAAAACCTAACAACAAAAGCTAAGGAAATGTACTTTTATGATGATGAGTTTGAGTGAGAAAAGCTAAAACTCAACAAGGATGCCCTTATTGGTGGTATGTTGATGAGTAATAAAGGGTCTATCCCTCAAGTTGCAGAAGTCTCGGAACACTAGAAGAAGAAGATTGTTGAGTATTTTTCTTTCTGAGGCCAATGATCTGCTTGTTCAAATGTTTCCTCATTCCTAAAGTTGAAAGTTAAAACTCCCACTTCCATAATGCAGATGACACCAATAAGTCTCTGTAATACCGTACACAAAGTTGTTTCTATGCTTCTTGTTGAACAATGTATCATGGTAAAATTTTCCCTAGAATAGATGCATATGGACACTAACATGAAAATACACCAAAAAAATAAGGTTTTGAACATTTGATTAACTCAAAATGGTGTAGGATAAAGAGGTAGCAGAAGAAAATCACAATTGCCATTCAAATGCTGATGAATGGTAGTTCAAAAGTCAAAACAAAAACCCCTGAAGTTTTATATACACAACCCTCTTAAATCACTCAAAGCTCCACACTTTCTAAACTCAACTTTCTCTCTAGACTTCAAAACCTTATCTTTTCTACACTTGAAATTTTACACACACAAAAAATTGAGAGTAACATTTAAAATAAGCACATAACAACCTTAAATATTTGACACAAATTGACCAGAATATGTTTCCTTTTTCGGCATTCTTTCAAGACAGGTGATGAAAATTGCTGTTGAAACCTCTGTAAGGCTAGGTGATCCTGAAAATGAAATCACGTCAATCAAAGCTTCGTCCAAGTTTCCATTCTGTTGCTGTCGCTGCATTGTGCTCACGTTTGATTGGTGATCACCACGTCCAAATTCATGGCTCATCTTCCGCAAGCTGCACATTGTATCCATGCTTTAGGTCTGTAACAAGTCAAGGTTTCCACGTAAAATGTTTAGATGTTCAATCTAATATGCCCGCATTAAAATACAAGAGGGTTTTGCACATGTTAACTAAAGCTTAAGAAGGAAAAGACAAAAGGTTGACAAAAGAGTATATGACAGTCGCAATAGGGATTCAAGATCAGCAAGCAATGGAATGTTGAAAACAACTCAATACCATCAGGAATTGACTGAACTTTATGACTCCAAGGTGAACTCTTTCACAGCGTAAAATTTTAAGTAACAGGTTTAAGTTTGACCAATTAATGGATATGGAAATACAAATTTTGATAAGTTTACAACTATTTATACATAATATTCTATCATGACATAATCCCAAAGACTAAACTTTATCAAATATCCATCCAGTATTACACAGATATGAACAAACAATTATCAAACTAGAACTAACACTCTTGCAAATTCCCATTCACCTACAAGCAAGATTACACGAAATTCGTCCTCCTTCGATTTTCTTTAATCTAAGAGAGAAATCATGATTTACTTGTACTTCAGAAATAATATGAAAAAATTGAGGTTCCTACTGTCAGACAACCAGTAGCTCCAAAAGCTTAAGCTGTCAAAGAATGGGTCAACAATGTATATTAAGCTCACACCTACAAGTGGTAAAATCAATGTGGGTATGAGTTGGATATGATATACACATGTATAGTTTACTAACCAATTTGGCCGGCCAATTACACCATCTACACAAAAATCACTGAATGCGTAAAGGAAGCTTCATTGAAGAGATGGTCTAGCCACCAGAAGGGATGAAGCAAGAATGTAACCATATATTACCAAGACCAGGGAAATGAAGGAACTAATAAAATAAAGGTGTTAGGTGGTGGAATATTTACTCCAACCTAATTGTATTCCACCAATACTATACAAAAACAGATTAAATGTTTATACCAAGTATTGAATATGTTTAATGATACCTTTCATTGAAGACTTATCATATTTCTCTTTCCTCTCATCATCATTCTTCCATTCACGATCATCATTCTTCCATTCACTATCATCTTTCTTCCATTCACTATCATCATCATCCTCATCATCATCATCATCATTGCCCATTTCATCTCTTCCATCATTTCCTATATCGCTCTCACTTGCTGTCTCCCATTCGGAATCATCGGTCTCTCGGCCATAGATGTCACCAGCATCACCCTCACAGTGGACACCCCCATGTTTGATAGCTGCCTCTCTAAATAACCAAGCTGCACGCATCTGCTTTTTAACCAATCGTTCCGCATAGTCAGGAACCTTATTTTGCCTCAACGAGAGATCAGGATCATTTGACTGAGAGCACTCGTTTATGAACAGAATGGCATCTAACAAACTCTCTTTTGCAAGCCCAAGCATGTCATAAGCCTGTGCTCTTCTCCAAAGACTTTTGGCATGACGGTTCAGTGGGTTGTGAAGACAAAGTGCACGAGTAGCATCACTAATAGCTGCCAAGGGCTGTTGCAACAGAAGATGACACTGTGCTCGATTACTGTAAAGAACAACTCTCTCCTTTTTGGATCTCATTGGACACAATGCCAACGCTTCTGAGTACTTTGATGCAGCTCCAGATATATTTCCTGATGAAAATAATGAATTTCCTTCAAGCTTGACCACTAGAGCTGCTGCCTGTTTAATATGGAGATCCTCTTTAGGCATATTCTTTTCCCATTTCAATCTCTGTCTGGAATTCAACAGTTCCTCAATCAATTCCTTCGTTCGGTTATTGAAAGAGTTGCGTCCTGTCCCTTGT